ATGGCTGTACAGCTCTTTTCTTTGGTGTTCTTATACTCAAAAGTAATTTTAAACTCCACGATGCTTACAATGCTTAAGCAATACTAATTGGCCTTAGGTGATTTATAAAATGGACACAGTAATTTACAAGTTTTACAAAATAACAATGTCTGTGCTGTGCATCACAAAACACAAACAAGCCAAAACCTTATGGGTTAACACATGCAATACTAACTCACAAGCTGCAGATTTCTTCTCTATCCTGTATTTTATTGTCATGTCTTACATTATGTGTCCTTGGTTGATTTTTGAATTTATTTGTTTTTTGTATTTATAAATGCACACAGTTTTGCCTGTTTTTCCTATAATAAGAAAACAAAATGTATTGTATCTTTCCTTTGGTTAGGAATTTTTGGACTTAAGCAATAGTGTCAGGTCAATCAGATATATACAGTATGTTCAACATACTATGATAATGTGTGATATAAGAATATATAAATTTCTGTTTATAGAAAGATCCTTTTAGCTAACAGTGGAGATCTGTGGTAGAAGTAGTGTTTGCAGAAATTTTGAAGAAAAAGATAAATTAATTGTAACTAGAGTAGCATGTATTGTGTATGTCGTATATTGACAGATCTTCTAAAACTTTTTAAAAATTAAAGTAAAGCAGGACTATGAGAGACCTACATTGTGTATTTTTACTGGCAGGATTTTTCTGTTGACTCATCCTGTTAGTAAGTATTAAGTTGCATGGAACCATTGGTAGATATTACTGAGGCAGTGGGGCTTGTAAACTTGACTCTGAATAAGGGAGTGTCTCTTAGAGCAGAGAAGGTCTAAGCTGGACAGTCATCTAGGAGGAACTCTATGAGCTGCAAAGGCAGGGGATGGAATTTGTTATACTGTTAGGTTTCAGAGTAACAGCCGTGTTAGTCTGTATTCGCAAAAAGAAAAGGAGTACTTGTGGCACCTTAGAGACTAACCAATTTATTTGAGCATAAGCTTTCGTGAGCTACAGTGCTGTAGCTCACGAAAGCTTATGCTCAAATAAATTGGTTAGTCTCTAAGGTGCCACAAGTACTCCTTTTCTTTTTGTTATACTGTTGTAACCCTTCTGCCCGTCAGAGTTGGCAGCAACAAGGGCCGGGTTCAATATCTAGGGGATTCATTCCAATAACACAATGCAAACCGGCTCGAGTGCCCACCCAGTGACCTGGGACAAATATATACCACCCCCGCTGGGCGCCTCCAAGAGGCAATACTTCCCCTCTCGCAAGCACATAGTCTGAGTGTAGCAAAAGCCTTTTAATATCAGAGAGAAACAATATGGCATTATGTTGGGGAAACACCACCAACAGGATTCGTAATACAACCCATGAGCAAAACCCCAGCCCAAGCAAATTGGGGCATGCTCTTTCCCTTTGGTTCTTGAGTCCAGCAACCCCAAATCACCCAAAGTCCCAAAAGTCCAATGACCCAAAAGTCTCTTTCCCTGGTCAGGGGAGCCCCAGAGTTTGAAAGTTTATCTGCAGAGCTTTACCTCCCAACCTGGGTGGAGATGGGGGGGGGGGAAGAGAGGTAAGGGGCACCTTACATGATCTGAAGCTGACCACCCCACAGCTCCATAGGCCTTCGCTCCGCTCCGCCAGCCGCCCCACGAACTGCTTCGCTCAGCTTGGCTCCGCTGCCCACCAGCAGCTCCCACCGTCCCACAAACTGCTCCACCAGCCGGTCCACGAACTGCTCCGCTCCACATCCCACAAGCAGCTCCCGCCGTCCCACGAACTGCTCCACCAGCCTGTCCACAAGGCACTCCAGCTGTCCCACAAACTGCTCCACAATATATCTTCAGGCTCCCCCACTACTTAACACAACACTCAGTGATTTCAGCTCTTAGTCAGTTCAGCTCTTTGGTGAATTCAGCTTGTAGTAGGGGAGCCTCAGTGCTGGTACACCATTAGCCCAAAGTGACCTCAGCAGCCTGTAACTAGACTCCTAATGGAATCAAAATTAGCTCTGATATTCCACAGTGGAGAGAGGAGGAAGTGCAATTAGCATGTAAGGCCCTCACCAAGGGGCCCATGCCACCAAGTATTAATACTTGTCCCCAGCCTCTCTCAAGTCACAGAGTTTTGGAACCCATGACCCTTGCCTAGCGAGTGCTACTTAGTTGATGGTGAATCCCTCCATCATAACAAAAGGCCAAGTACAGTTCCCAGCACAGTTCCCATAATCAGGGTAATAACAATTTATTCTTCCTGCCCCAATAACAGAGACACTGGGGATCCCACAGCAGCCAAAGTGACCACTTGGGCAGCTATGGCCTCATTCTAGGTGGGGTGGGTGTGCCTATGCAAATGAGATCGGCCCCTGAAGTTCTTTTCCACAACTTGCCACACCTCACCACCAGATGTCAGGGTGGAGCTCATCCTGACACTGCTTACACTGTTATGAGTTTCTTTGTAAACAAATCCAAACAGTAGGAAGGGACTGATTTTTCATCTGATAATGCATTGACTATATTTTGGAACAGAGTGGAAAAAGTCACTTATTAGTCACCCAAAGCACAGTGAAACCTGCATGTATAGAGCACCTGAAATACTTATTCCCCATTTCTTAGTCAATATAATGCATCCTAGGTGCTTACCATATGTAGGATCGGCTCTAGGCACCAGCAAAGCAAGCACGTGCTTGGGGCGGCACATTTCCAGGGGCGGCGTTCCAGCCATCCTTTTTTTCCCCCCGGCTCCGCTCAGTCAATCAATGAGACCCTGCATTGGGCAGGGTGGCGGGCTCAGCGCGGGGGTCCCGCCCTGGTCCGCCCCCTCCCCCTACGGCTGGCCCACCCCCCAGCCGTTCTGTTGGTTACTGTCCCCTCTGCAGAGGTGGGTCTGGGTCTGAGATCGGGCTGGGGGCCCACGGGTGGGATGTACAGCCCCGAGCACCTCACTCCAAACACTACTATAGCATTACACATTCTTTTAACAGTACCAGTATCAATGGCTTCTGGTGAGTGCAGTTTCTCAAAACTGAAATTACTAAAATTTATTTGAGGTCCACCATGTCTCAAAATTGTTTGTTACGACTCGCATTAATTTCAATTGAAAGTACCATTGCAAAAAATTTAGATTTAGATTTTCACTGAATTATTAAAAGACTACGCAAGTATAAAAACCATATAAATTCTTTTAATTTATGAGAAACTGGGCACACCAGAAGACACTAACGTTTTTCATTACAGTGTATAGTTGAACCCAAATTGTTTGTAATTGTGATTTTGTTAAAATTAAATGAATACACTAGTAGGAAATTGTTTTATTTCAGTAACTACAAATTCTCTGTTTTCATTTTTTAAAAATTTTAAACAGTCAAAACAAAACATTTCAAAATGCAAACGTGTAAAAGCCAAAAAAAAAGGGAGGGGGCCGCCAAGAATTTTTTTGCTTGGGGTGGCAAAAAACCTAGAGCCGGCCCTGATCATTTTGATGGATCAGTGGAACACGTTTCATAGTATATTTTGGGCTATAATTGTGTGGGAGGAACTTGATCTAAAAGGTTTAAATGTTTACCTGATAGTATATAATAGGTAATTGTCCCAAATATCTTAAAGGGACAAGGTGGGTAATATCTTTTATTGGACCAATTTCTGTTGGTGAGAGAGACAAGCTTTTGAATTTACACAGAGCTCTTCCTCAGACCACATCCATGATGGTGGATCCCTTTGCACCCATGAGAACTCCAGTGAAATCTGTGAGGTTCCATTGACTCCTTATGGCCATGGGTCCACTTGCCTGGAGGTGGCAGTGGGACTGTGAGACCATGTGCAGTAAATGTTTATATAGTTTTTCTTGTCTCTGTAATAAAGACAAATTTTATAATAATTTTACCTTACTCCTGTGTAATTTGTATTGAAATCTGTGTAATCCTGTATAACTTGTGTTGAAATCTTCTTTTTTGTCATTTTCTCCATGGTTTTTAAAAGTGAAGTCAATGAGACTTCTGCTGTTGTCTTCATTAAAGCTAGGATTTCACCCGCTCTCTCACATGGGTTATGAGATAATACTGCATTTCTTATGTGCATATAACTCCCATTGCAGCTGAGGTAATTTTGAAAAAGGGCTGTAGGATGATTAAAAAAAATCAGTGAATAGTGAATTAAAATACCACTTGTAGCTCATTAGTATAAGTTCCATTGTATATTAGCAGTGCTAAATAACAATTTTCAAGCATTCTGCTAAAGTAAAATTATGAGTACATTCAAAACTACAGGATATTTCCTCTTTTGGGGGGCCCAAGGCAAGTTCTGTATATGCAAAGCTTGTAGTATCAGACCCTTGTTGCACACAAGTCAAAGGGGATGTCTAACCCTAAAGGCTGGTGGACTGTTTTTTTAAATAATGTATGCAATTGCTCCTGCATTCTTATAATTTGTACTTAACCTAGAGCATTTCATGGACACTTTATACTTTAGTTCATAGGAATCGGCCTATTCTTTTTCAGTCTGCCAAATATATTTTTTAGATCTGCATGAAAAGTAGCTATATCATATGCTACATGAATTTGTAGTTTCAGACAAACAGCCTATGAAATGCATAAACAATTTAAAATATGTTTTAAATTCAGTCTTATTCTTAATATTGGTTTATCTGTTTTAACCATGGGGCCAAATACTGTATTTTTAAGTAAATCAATCAGAGTTTATACCTGAGTGGCCAAATCTGGCAATCTTTTACCTTTTTGAGTGCTGAATCAGTTTTAAAAGTAATATTGTATTCCATAATAAATTAAACACCTTTTTTTGATTTAGCTCATAGAAGTGTTTCTCACAGGCTTACATCTCTAAACAGGTGGTTATTGAGAGTTCCATTTTGTCCTGTGATTGTTTTTATGAAATACAGATATTTTAACACATAGCTGCTTGATACAGAGTAAATTAAATAGACATTTAAGTAAATGCTAAAAATTTTAAATAAATGTTCATATAATGTAGAAATGCAAAATATTTATTTATTTGCTTGCAGAGGTCTTTTTATCACCATCCATGACCAGGGGCACATTGCTACAATGCTTAAATCATGGCCTGAAGATGCCATAAGGGTAAGTTCAATTTTATTTGTATGGCAAAGTTGCTTTTGATCTGTATCTTTGTAACTGTGGCTAAAATGTTTTGACTAGCTACTGCTTTTAATTCAAATTAAATTAGGTTGTATAGTGGTATTAATTAGTTGCTATAGGTTTCTTAAATCACTGTTGTATCAAAGCCACTTTCCAGTTGCAGCTTCAGAATCTTGTGGCTTTTAAACTGTGCTATGTGTTAGGATTTCCTTTGCTGTTTAGAATTTGAACTTCTTGATAACTTGCCCATTATATTCAGTCTCATGTAATTTAAAGGTTTCATTTGTTTTTGAATATGATATGGATTGATTTAATTATTTACATCTGAACGATCTCTACATGTGGATCAGTTAACTCCCAAATATGACATCTTCTCTTTATTTCTCTATAAAGAAAGTTCTGCTGAGCGTTTTACAGTCAAAGCGATTTCAGTAATAATTGATTCCAAAGAGTTCTCCCACAGGCTGTTTCTGTTCTCCACCCTACAGCTGTTTGTCATGGAATAAGGTGTGAAAATTATTCATTCCTTTAAAATATCAAAGAAATCATTTCTATTCTGATCCTAAAATCTGAACATACTTTAGTATAAACGAGTGACAAATGCATCACTAAGCCATGGTAGATGACTTTTGGAAAATACCATTTGATCCAAATTGTCATTATAAACTGGGATTCTCTCCTTTTCTATTGTTCTTGCTCTCTCCATCTTATCACAGCTGTGAATTAGGGATAATGGTGCTTGCCCATCTTTGTAAAGCACTTTGAGATCTGCAGATCAAAGTACCTCTGTAAGCAATAGATGGTGGGAGGTGATGGTGTTCATTTTATTATATTGTTTTGTATCCTGAGATTGCATTCAGGCTTAGTCTCATTTTTAAAATAATAATTATTGTTGATTAAACAGGAATGCCCAGGTTTTTGTGCAGAGAATTTCTTTTTCACTTAATATTTTATTTTGGAGTATATCTCCTTTTTATCCCATTTTTTTGTTTTTGTTTGAGCCCTTAAAAAATGTGCTGCTGAGGTCAGTGAGTGTTCATATCCTGTGAACAAATACTTATAGGTGCTTTTATACCATGTAAAGCCTCCTAGAACAACTTTAACAGCTGTTTTTTCAAAAACACACTGAAATAGCTTAATGAGGAAACATTTGAATGGTCCAAATATCCATGTAAACAATGTGTTTGTGTGATACACAGTGATCATTAACCTATGTCCTTTATTTAAATTTACAAGACCAGATTTGGTTACAATGTAATAAACAAAAATTGAACTTAACAGATGTTCAAGTTATCCTTTTGAGTGTAATATGTTCATTTCTACTGGCTTAGTCTACCTTTCCTTGTGAATGAGAGTTTTACAAGAAACAATCTAAATGTACTGACTTGGAATACACTAGAACTACTTTGCAACATATTTTTCCATATGTGATCTTTAAGGTTTGTTTTAAATAGTTTTATAACAGCAACATTTGGTGGAGATTTTACCACAACATGCAGCTTTAATCTTGCACTGATTTGTGAAATACAGACAAATGTTTTGGTTTCTTTTTCCATTTCCAGCATCTGTGTGTTGACATCATTTTTAACTATTTGCTTGTTCTATATATCTGTCATCTGCACGTGTATTATATGTAGAAACACACATACAGTATGTGAATGTGGAGAGGTTAAATGGATTTAGCAAGGACAGGTACATTATAATGTTGCTTGCAATTAAAATGTTACAATAGAAACCATTAAAAGTCAACATTTGCTAAACATTTCCTGAGTTACCACAGACATCTTTTTTAAATTAGTGCACAAGAACACTGTTGCTTATAAAGTAAGGTTATGAAGTAAGGTTGATGTATACATAACCTACCTATCACAAAAACACAAAAGTGAGAAAATGAAAAATAAAGGCATTTAATAGTACATATAATCTGTTTCTGCACCCAGAGAGAGAGAATTAACCACTAAATCAGACAACACACCACAACTTTAACTGCCTCAGCAGGGATACCAGCCTCTCAACACCCCCTGCTCCCCTAATTGCCCTAACAGCACTGCAAACAGATCAGACTCCCCCATCCACCCTTAGTCTTTTCTGAACTCTAACCCTCTCTGGAGTTGGTTGTTACTGACATATTACTCTAAGCCTCTAGGGGATTCACAGAAATGGCTACAGAGGCTTAGGACTCAGTTTCCCAGATTGTCAAGAGTCCAGGGCAGAAATAGAACAGTCTGGAAGGTTCTACAAGAACCAACCATAAGCCAGAACTCAGAGACAAAGGGTTTGAGTTTTACTTTTGGGTTTGGCTGCTGTTGGAGTAGAGTGGAGAGAGAAACATGACTGCCTGGGAGGTCCCCATTAAACTTCCCATTCCTACCCAAAGGAAAACTTTGAACTCTGGTGCTGTGTGGGTCACTGAAAAGTGTCAGCCCAACAGAGATCAGCAACCCAAGAGGCTGAGGAGTGATTTCAGTTTATACTTCATCTCTGACCCTTTTCTCTGTCACCTCATCCCCGACCCCAGCTCTGACACTGGGCTCTGATTCCTGGCTACCGACTTCTGCTCTAATCACTGGGCCTGACTCATGCTGTAACTGCTAGGCATAACAGCCCACATCCCAGTCATTGACAGTTTGAACTGCTCCCCCCAAAAGACAACACCAGTTAGAGAATTAGAGCTGATGTGGTGAGCATGGATCCTACAAAGACCAATATCTCTCTGATGGAGATAGTGGAAGTCTTACAGATCTTGCAGGTCCAGGTTGCCATCCTGCAGGCACAGTCCTGCAAGTTCAAGCCACACCACTTTCAGTTGGTGACCCCTGCTATCCTTGAGCCTAAGCTCCCCCTACCTGAGTCGTGACAAATTTTGTGGGTTCCTAAATCTGTGTCATCATCTCCTATTTCTGCTATGCCTGCAGTCGTACTCCTCCGGCCAAGCGTGAGTAGGAATGGTTATCAGCCTGCTTACTGGGGAGACTGTGGTTTAGGTGTCTCCTGTCCTGGAGAAATCAAGCCCACTTCTGGGACTATTTGAGGACTTAGTTTAGGCAATGGCAGTAAACTTCAATGACCCAAGTCGTAAGCATATGGCCGAAGCCATGCTTTAAGTGATGAGGCAGGGACGCTGTCCAGTTGCTAAATATGCAGCAGAGTTCTGATGTTTGATAGTAGATACCGAGAGGAACAAGGCTGCCCAGTTTTATAATTTCTGACTTGGGTTAAACAATGACATTAAAGATGAACTGGCATGGATGGGATCCCTCTCTGGCCTGGATGCCTTAGTCAATCTATGCATCAAGATCGACCACCTCCTGGCTAAATGATCCAAGTAAACAGAAGTTCCTACTGGCTTCCATCAGCTCTGCTGATTCTGGCCCCTGGATCACCAGTTCCTTATCCATCATCTGAACCCCTGCAAGTCGACCAGGTCCAGCCCCATCTTTCTGACGTGGAGAAGAATCGATGCTGAGCATCGGACCTATGCTTATATTGCAGGGAACCAGTGCACATTATATCAAGCTGCCCTGTCAAGGTTTGATCTGCATGCCATGCCCCAGCCCTGGTAGGGGAATCTGGGCTGGGTTGGTGTCCTTCACTTTTCCCCAGCAGTCCACACAGCAATTGTCCATCAGTACCTGGTGATGGCCAATCAGAATCCAACACATCCCTCCCTCTCTGGTTCCAGCTCCGGCACCCTGCGATGCCTGACACCAACCTAGAAGTGCTTGTGGACTCAGGTGCCTCAGACAATTTCATGGATCTGGAGTTTGTCCAAGCACACAATATCTCTCCCAGTCCTAGGAGTATCCTGAGCTAGTGCAGTCTAAGTATAAGCACTCCTCTGCTTTGGTACTGCAGAAGACAGCACTGTTGACTTCGGTGCCTTTGCAGGTTCAGTTGAGTCCAGAGCCAGAAGGACCACCTTCCACATCTGCAACACTGCAACACACTGTACTGACCTATCTTGTTACCGACCACATCAGAGATGTTTGCAGCTACCAGGAACCTCCTGACCCTGATGGTGCCAGTATTATCGGCAATACAAGAGTCAACGCTATTGGTGCTGGTGGGCGTAGCAGGGTTCCTACAGCACTCTGTACCATGCCAGCCTCATGTACCCTTCGATACCATCAATGGGAAAACCCATGATGCTTGCCTCTCTGCAGGCCTCTCCACCTTGGCACTGGTTGCTGGCACCATCTGGAACTATGCTCAGTGGAAGGAGAGTCGTCTTCTTCTAAATCAAAGGGTCCTACATTTCCTAACCACAGAGTTGCTCTTGCTACCCCTCCTCCAGTTATTTCCATCCTTCCATGGATCCTGTCACAGGAGTACTTTCGAGTCGTTAGCCAGGAGGTCACTGGGGGCCTATACTTGTCCAATGGCTTTTTTGGAATGGTTGGGGTTCCCCCCCTCCATGTAAAGATCATATTCCAGGCATTCCTATTTGGTGGCCTTGGAAAGGTGTGTGGCACCTACCTATTGGGAAGCACCCGTTCCTGATTCCAGTCCCAAACTCGATAACAGATATCAAAAGCCAGCTCAACTGGACCCTGTGGATCAAAAAATGGAAGAAGGCTGGCCTCTTCTTCCTTCCCCTCTGACAAGGCAGTCTCGGGAGGGGGCAACTTGCCTTCCCCAGATGGCTATAAGGCACACCAAGAATTGTTAGAGGGATGCCTTAAGTTTGGGCACACAGGTGGAGAAAGTAAAAGAATCCTTACATTGCTTGGTTGATATTTTAGCCATTGCAGGTCCTTCCAGAGTGGCCCTGCCTCTCAATGAGGCCATTATGGACCCAGTTAAGGTGTTATGGGAGACCCCTGCATCTCTTCCCTTCAGTTCAAAAAGGTCCAAATGCAAGTATTATGTTCCCGCCCAAATATGAGTTCCTTTACTCCCATTTCCCCCTTCCCTGGGGTCCCTGGTAGCATTTGTTGCCAATGAGAGGGAAAGGCAGGGACATCAGGGCATAACCCCAAAAT